AACAAGGACCAGCAGAACTCGGACACCGACTCCTTCGGGGATGCCTGCGACAACTGCCCCAACGTGCCCAACAACGACCAGCGGGACACAGACAGCAACGGCGAGGGGGACGCTTGTGACAACGACATCGATGGGGACGGTGAGTGGCTGCGGGGCTGCCCTGCCCTGCTGCACCCCGGACTGTGGGCATCCACCCAGCGCTGTCCTTGCAGGGATTCCCAACATGCTGGATAACTGCCCCAAGGTGCCCAACCCTCTGCAGACAGACCGGGATGAGGACGGGGTCGGGGACGCCTGTGACAGTTGCCCTGAAATGAGCAACCCCACTCAGGTATGGTGGGGGCCCGGTGGGGAATGGGGGTCCTCAGGCAGCACTGAACCAGGGCACTGCTCTCCTCCAGACAGATATGGACAGCGACCTGGTAGGAGACATCTGTGACACCAATGAGGACAGGTAGGGACCACGAGGAGGTGGGGTCACCACCCTGTCCCATCCATTCCTGGCTTGGAGGCCTGGGAGAGGGGATGACGAGGTCTTTGGAGATGGCAAGGGTGCTGGGACACGGTGCTGGGACCCCAGTGTGCAGCACTGCTGTGACCCTATTCTTGCTGGCAGTGATGGGGACGGGCACCAGGACACCAAGGACAACTGCGCCGAGATCCCGAACAGCTCCCAGCTGGACTCGGACAACGACGGGCTGGGGGATGACTGTGACAATGACGATGACAACGATGGCATCCCCGACTACACAGCGCCTGGCCCAGACAACTGCCGCCTCATCCCCAACCCCAACCAGAAGGACTCGGATGGTGAGGGCAGGGTGGGCCGGAGGAGGCAGAGCCACACACGGGCTCATCCCAGCCTGACTGGGCTGCGTGTCCGCAGGGAACGGGGTGGGCGACGTGTGCGAGGAGGACTTTGACAACGACACAGTCGTGGATCAGTTCGACGTGTGCCCCGAGAGCGCCGAGGTGACACTGACTGACTTCCGAGCCTACCAGACCGTCATCCTTGACCCCGAGGGGGATGCTCAGATCGATCCCAACTGGGTCGTCCTCAACCAGGTGTGGGTGCTGCCCCCTGTGTTTCTGGGGCCGGAGCTGGCAGAGGGGGAGCAGAGCAGGGCCCGGGGGTCCCTGGGGACTCCCCTCACCCGGCTGTCCCCATCAGGGCATGGAGATTGTGCAGACCATGAACAGTGACCCGGGCTTGGCTGTTGGTAAGAGATGCTCTCCCACCTCTAGGTCCTGTGGGGCAGCCCCTCTGCTCCTGTCCCCCTGTGCTGGGTGGGTGAGGGCTGGTTCTTTGCCCCACAGAGGAGTGGAGGGAGCTGGGGTGGGGGGTCCCGTGCTGGGGGAGCGGTGTCCTTGCAGCGTTTGCCTGCCTGTAGGCTACACAGCCTTCAACGGGGTGGACTTCGAGGGCACCTTCCATGTCAACACTGTCACCGACGATGACTACGCCGGCTTCATCTTCAGCTACCAGGACAGCGCCAGCTTCTACGTGGTGATGTGGAAGCAGACGGAGCAGACGTACTGGCAGGCCACCCCCTTCCGTGCCGTGGCTGAGCCGGGGCTGCAGCTCAAGGTGGGTGCTGCCCACCCCTGGCGCCAGGTCGGGGTCCCTCCCCATTGACTCCCTGTGCACCCACAGGCGGTGAAGTCCTCGACGGGCCCCGGGGAGCACTTGCGCAACGCGCTGTGGCACACGGGCCACACGCCCGACCACGTCCGCCTGCTCTGGAAGGACCCGCGCAACGTGGGCTGGCGGGACAAGACCTCCTACCGCTGGCAACTGGCCCACAGGCCCCAGGTCGGCTACATCAGGTGAGCAGGGCCCGGGGTGATGGGTGATGGGATGCGGCTGCTCCTGCCATGATACAGGGGGAGGATGCTGGTGGGGGGGACCGGTCCACCCCGTGGGACCACGGCAGCGGGGGGATGCCCTGGGGAGGGGTCCAGCCCCCAGTGTGGTCCAGCTCTCGGGGGGGGGGGGGAGGACGCTGTCGGTGGGGAGGGGTCCCTCCCGCTGGGACCGCGTTTCCCCTTTAAGGCTCCCGGCGGGGCGGCCGTCGCGGGGGGGCTCCGCGGGCCGTTCCTGTCCGCCCGGCCGGGCCCCCGTGGCCATTGTCCCGTCTCCATGGCGACCCCGCGGCCGCCGGAGCCTTTCACATGCAAAGCGCCCGACAAAGGCGGCGGGGCCGGGGCCGGGGGCTCCATCGCGGCCGCGGCGGGGGGCCCGGCCCGGGGCGGGGGGTTCACCCTATCCCACCCGCCGCGGGACGCCCCGTTCCCGGGCCGGTGCTCGCATCCCACCGCGGGCCGCGATGCCCCAGCTCGGTGCCGCCGGCCCCGTGCCCCGCTCCGGCCCGGGTCGGGGTGCCCGGCGCTGCCCCCGGCGGGGTCCCGCTGACCGACCGGGCCGCACCGTTCCCTCGCCAGGGTCCGGCTGTACGAGGGCCCGCGGCTGGTGGCCGACTCCGGGGTGATCATCGACACCACGATGCGCGGGGGGCGGCTGGGGGTCTTCTGCTTCTCCCAGGAGAACATCATCTGGTCCAACCTGCAGTACCGCTGCAACGGTGAGCAGGGCCCCCCGGCAGCCCCCCGCTTTACCCGGCCGAGAGCTCGACGAGCACCTCCCGCGGGGGGTGGCTCGGTCCCGCTTTACCGGAGCTTCCCCCCCGCTGTGTCCCCGCAGACACGATCCCCGCCGATTTCGAGCCCTTCCGCCGGTTCCTGCTGCAGGGACGCGAGTGAGCGGCCGCGCCCGGCCCGGTTCCCCCCCCGCACCGCGCCGGCGGCACCGCTCTGGGCCCCGCTCCCGGCCAGGCCCCGCTCCGGGCCCCCCGCGGACTTTGCACTGCCGGTACCGGCGCGGCCCCCCCCGCTGCTGCTCCGGTCCCTGCCCGAAGTCTGGCCATAAAGTTTTAAGTGTTTTCTAGCCTGCGCGCCCCGTTCCTTTGGGGAGGGGGGGGCGTGGTCCCGGTGCCTCGAAACGGCTCAGACCCCCCCTCCCCCCCCCCCCGGTGCTCTCCGGTCCGGTGGTCGCGGAGGGGGGGTTGTGCCACCGGCGGAGCCCGCGGCGGCGGGAGGCCGGGACGAGTGCAATATTGGTAGGCGAGCGCACAACACTGCACCGCATCCCGGCCCTGCCGCCGCCGCGGAGGACGCGCACCGGACCCGCCGCTCGGGCCGCTCCGTGGGAACTGCGCGGTGCGCGCCGAGCCCCGGCGGCACTGCCCGGTCGCCATGGCGACGGCTGTCCCGGCAACGCTCCGGAATGTGCCTCCCCCCCCTCCCCTTCCTTCCCTGCTCCCGCCCGCCCGGGAGCGCGCGGGGCCGCCACCGGCCCGCCCCGCGGCGGCGGCGCCGGGCCCCGCTCTTAAAAGGGCAACGCGGTGGGCGCGGGGCTGCCCCGCCGGGACCGGGACCGGGGGCAGTGCCTGGGGCAGCGCTGCCAGACCCCGGACCGGGGCCGCGGCGCGACCGGGGCGTGCGGGAAGCGGGGGGTGCCGCGCGGTGCCGAGAGCCCCCCGGTCCGTCCGGTGCAGGGCGCGGCGGGGCTGAGCCGCCACCACGCACACACAACCCCCCCCTGCCGCCACGGGCACCCGCGGGCTCCGGTCCCGCTCCCGGTTCCCGTCCCGGGGCGTGTCGAGAGGACCGGGTCCGCCAGAGGGCGCCGGAGCTCAGTCGCCGCCGGGGCTGGCGGGACCCAACCGGGACCCAACCGGGACCAGAGGCCCCTCGTACGGCGCCGGGGCCGGGGGTCGCTGCCGCGGAGGACGGGACCCGTGTCCCCCCCCCCTACGGCGAGTGCTCCATCGGTTGTACCGAGGGGAATGTTGAACCGGGTGTGGGTCCCGGGTACCGGAGCTGGTGCAGAGCAGAACGCGGGGGGTCAGCTCGAATGGGGGCGTCCGGGGGGGGATTGGGGGGAGGAAGGGGTGTCCTGGTCACCCAGAGCTTGCTGCCTATCCTTTGCCGCATCCCCCCTGCTGGCCCCAGGGCAGGGCGCCCCGTTGGGGACCGGGGTGCAGCCGGGTCCTATCTAACCCGCGCTGAGGCGCCGAGCACCCACCCCGTGAGCACCGCGGAGGGTCCCCCCCCTCCAGTGTTCTGCTCCCCTTTGCACTGACCCCCCCCGCTCTCCGCGCAGGGCAGGGCAGGGCACACGGAGGGGGGGCCCTAGCCAAGCCCTTCCTGAGACCTGGGGCCTTTTCTGGGAATCGGGGCTCTTCCGCAGGGCAGGGGCAGGGAGGGACCAGAGCGGTTGCTGTGGTCCGGCCGTGCCAGGAGCACGTGTCACCGGGCAGGACGGGGGCACCGGCGGCACCTCGTACCCCTGGGGTGGAGCATCAGCATCCGGCTTGGCACCGGGCATGGCCAGGGGCTGCGTCCCAAGAGGGATGAGGGTCTTACACCTGTTGTGGCGCCCAGGACCGGGAGGGGGTGCACTGGGACCTGGCAGGGAGGTTACTGGGAGGTACTGGGATTTTATGGGGCCCCGGTCCCCACCTGCGTAAGCGTTTCGGGGGGGTATCACCGGTGTTTATTTGAATGTAGGGCGAGGCAGGGGCCGGCCGGTAATGATTAACTCTGGGCTGAGCCAGGAAACGAGCCCCCCCTCACCCATACGGGGGACTGGGGGGCTCTGTCCCCCCTTGCTCCCCACCATGTTCTGGGGTCCGCGGCATAGTCCATGGGGTTCATGTGGGTTTAACCCCCAAACCCTCCTGCCCTGGGGTCCCCGGCACTGCCCCTTCCCTCTGTCCCCACCCGCGGCTCGGGGATGCTGCTGGTGGTGCCCCCCCAGCCCGGGACCGAGCCCCGGCGGTCAGGATGCTGCGGGAGCCCCATCGCGCCCCGTGCCCGGTGCGAAGCTGCTCGGAGGGACACCCCCCCCCGTCCCGTCCCGTCCTCGGTGGGGCCGGCGGCGGGGTGGGGCCTCCCCTCCTGTCCCAGGTGTTTCTATAAAGCTGCCGCCAGTTCCTGCTGCCGGGAGCGGAGCGAGCCGACGGCGCGCACGGGAGGGCTCCGGCGGCCCCGGACCAGCCCCATGGCCAACGCCACCCTCCTGCTGCTGCTGGCGCTGGGCGCAGGTGAGGGGCTGCGGGCGGGGACACCCCGAACCCGACGGAGCGGGGCTGGGGCGATGCGGGGCGGGAGCCGAGCCCCCGGGGCTGCTTCTGAGCCGGGACCGGGGGTCCCCGGCACCAGCGATGTCACCGCCGCTCCCTCTGCATCGCTCCGGGGGTGGTGTCCCCAGCAAAGCCGGGACACGGGGGGCTGCACCGCCGCTGGCTCCCGCCGGCCGTGCTGGTGCAGCCGGAGCCGGCTCTGCCCGGGGCTGGAATTCAGGCGTGTCCGTGAGCACCGGGACCACGGGCTCCCCTCCAGTGGGGCAGGGTGGGGACCCACAGCAAAGGGGGCTCATGGGGTGAGGCTCTGGTTGGCTCCTGAGGTCGTGGTGGCTCCCGGTGCCCAGGGAGCGTCCAGCCGAGGAGCCGTGTTGAATCATTCCCAGCCGCTGACTCCTGGTGTTTTCCTTTAGGTACCTGTGCCATGACCACCACCACCGAGAGCACCACGGAGACCACTGCCACTGACACAACCACCACAGAGACAACCACGACCACCACGGAGATGACCACCGAGACGACCACCACCACCACCCCCCCCATGACCACCACCCTGAACATCACCATCACAAGCAGCAGTGGGGGACAACCACCCTCTGCTACAGCCTTCCCCAGCACAAGCAACACCACAAGCTTCCAGCCCAACACCACCACTGCCAACAGCACCATGGTGCCTACCACGGTCAGCTCTGCCGCCCCCTACACCAACACTACCACAAACAGCAGCAGCTTGGTCCCCACCTTCAGCACCAACAGCAGCACCATGGCTCCCACCTCTGCCACCAACACAGCCACCATCAGCACCGTGGCTCCCACCTCTGCCACCAACACAACCAACAGCAGCACCGTGGCTCCCACCTCTGACACCAACGCAACCAACAGCAGCACCGTGGCTCCCACCTCTGACACCAACGCAACCAACAGCAGCACCGTGGCTCCCACCTCTGACACCAACGCAACCAACAGCAGCACCACGGCTCCCACCATTGCCACCAAAACAACCAAGAGCAGCGCTGCAGCTCCCACATCTGGCACAGATGGTGGCACGGTGATTCTCACCTCCAGCACCAAAAGCAGCAGCACTCGGACCGTCCCCACGCACACAACCTCTGTCACAGCCCCTGCGGTGGCACCGGGCAGCAGCGCCGGTCCCAGCCCCAACACCGCCACCGCGGTGCAGCTGCTGCTCAGCATCCCCCTGTCCTTCCGCATCCTCAACAGGAGCTTCAATGAGAGCCTGCGCAATCCCGCGTCAGAGCAGTACCGGAGCCTGAGCCGCACCTTGCTGGCCATGGTGAGTCCCAGAGCAAAGCCCCCGTTCTGTGCCCTGTGTAAGTGCCCCCAGTACCCTCTTCAGCAGCGCCGGTGCCGTGATGGGGAGCACCGAGGGGATGGGATGGATGGATGGATGGAGGGATGGAGGAGGGATGTGGTCTCCATCACCCTCATGCTCTGTTCCAGTTTGACCGTGTCTATGGCAGTGGGCAGAGCTACAAGGGATGCAGTGAGCTCCGTTTCAGGTGAGTGGGGCTGCACCACGTAGAGCCCCTGGTGCCGGGCACCACCTGGGCACTGACACTTCTCCCATGGGCAGCCAAGGTTCCGTGGCCGTGCAGTCCACCCTCGTGTTTGGCCAGGACAGCACCATCACCACCAGCACTGCTGGGCAGCAGCTCAGGAACAGCCTGGACCAGAACGGCTTCATCATGGGCCTGCAGCTGGATGACATCTGGAGTGAGCAGGAGCTTTGGGATGGGGATGTGAGGGAGGATGGAGCCCAACGGGGGTGCTTTGGAGGTCTCCCTGGTGGTGGGGGGCAGCCTGCAGAGCCAAGTCAGGTTCCCGGTGCTCTGGGAACACCAACTGGACCCAGTGGAGGAGGCCCCATCCTGGGGGTCTCTCAGGGCTGTTGGTCCTTGCCAGCCCCATGGCTCTGCCCCAGTGCAGACACAGCTTTGGTCCTCTTTCAGGCAACACGGAAGGGATGTCCCCAGCACCGGTGCCAGGCTGGGCCATTGCTCTGCTGGTCCTGGTCTGCATTCTGCTGCTGCTGAGCATCCTCACCTGCCTCCTGCTGGTGAGTCCCCATCCCCATCCCTCCTGCCGGTGGGTCCCTGTCCCCATCCCTGTGCCGTCAGTCCCTCAACCCCATCCCTGTGCCCCCAGACCATCTGCACCTGCCGCCGGAAGACCCGTGGGAAGCTGGACCTGTTCAGCACGAAGGATTCCTACCACCCCATGTCCGAGTACCTGCAGTACCAGAGCCACGGGCGCTACCTGTCCCCCAGCAGCAAACCCAACCCCTACAGCCAGGTGAGCGCCCAGCACCGCAGCACCCGGCAGCTCCCCCCGCCGCCGGTCGCTGGGACCGGCAAGGTAACTTTCACGCCTGGGTGGAGCAGTGGCACCGGTGCTGGCAGACCCGGCCCGGCCCCAGGGAGCTCACAGCCTCGGGTGGCTGCTGCTGCTCTGCCCCTTCCCAAGGGCCGTGTCCCAGCCAGAGCCTCGCATGTGCTGGTGTCAGGGCATCCTCCTGCATGGATGGGGAGTGGGACTGGCTGGGGGCTGATTCCTGTACCCAGCAACTGTAACCAGCGCCACATAACCTGCACCTCATCTCCTGCACCCCATAACCTGCACCCCATCTCCTGCACCCCATAACCTGCACCACATCTCCTGCACCCCATAACCTGCACCCCATCTCCTGCACCCCATAACCTGCACCCCATCTCCTGCACCCCATAACTTGCACCCCATAACCTGCACCCCATCTCCTGCACCCCATAACCTGCACCCCATCTCCTGCACCCCATAACCTGCACCACATCTCCTGCACCCCATAACCTGCACCCCATCTCCTGCACCCCATAACCTGCACCTTGCGCCCAGCACCACCTAACCTGCACCCCGTCTCCTGCACCAGAAGCTCTGTGATTGGAGCTGCAGGACAGTGCCCAGAGCTGCCTGCACACACGCATGGGCCCCAGCTCCCCTGAGCAATATGGGTTGCAGGGGCCACCCCCGTGCCCCCCATGCTCTGCCCATGCACTCATGCTGCGGCGGGAGCCACATCCAGCTGCGTGGCCCCATCGAGCAGCTCCCCCTGAGCAAATACCAGGGGCCTGGGTAAATATTTACCTTGGCTCTGCCTGGGCTGGGCTTATCGTGCAGGAAGAGGGACATGGCCAGGGCCACGGCACGGCTCCTGTGCCCAGGGTGCCCATGGGGGTCATGGTGGGCTCAGTGTGCCCATAGGCAACTGTAGGTGCCCACCATGCAGGGTGGAGGGGGACACGCATTTAGGCTGACCCCGCGGTGATGGGGGGGTTCCGGCACTGAGGAGGGGGCTCATTGCAGGTCGCTGGCAGCAACGGCGCGGGGACCGGCACCTTCACCTACACCAACCCTTCCGCTACCTCCGACAACCTCTGAGTGACACCGGGATGCACAAGGATAGGGCTGGGGGGGGGGCAGCACCGGCCCCGGGCTTGTGTCCCCATCCTCCCCCCCTCCGCCACGGGCAGCAGGAGCCGGATGGTTCTGGAGCAGCCGGATTCATGCGCATGACAGAACTGGATGGGCAAGGATTGGGATCCAGGCTAGAAGGGGGGTCCCTGCTCCCCGGGTTCCTGCACTCGCTTGGCTTTGCACCAAGGGGGGGGGTCCCGGCTCCTGCACCCCCCCCCCCCATTCCCCCCTCAAGTCAATGGCTCTTTTGTGGTGTTATTTTGTACAAATAAATCTCTCTCTGTGGGATGCGGGCTCCAGGCTCGGATCGGGGGGGTCCTGCGAGTGCTGGGACAGCCCCGACGGGGCTGCGCAGGGCTCCCCGTCCCTGCCCCGCACGGCTGCAGGCGCTGTGCCCCGTGTACCCCTGCTCACACCCGCGCTCCCGGTTTCTATCGCATGAGCAAACACGAACTGTTCGGCACAACCGGTTCCGCCGCGTCACGCAAAGGTGACGATGGGAAAGGTAACCGAGGGGCCATAAAGCATGAGCCGGGTCCGAGCGCGGCCGGGCCCGCTCCAAACCCCCCTGGTCCAGGTCTGGGATGCTCCAAACCCAGAGCGAGCCCCGAGACGGCTTTGGAGAGGGAGGAGAGGAGCAGGGCAGGGCTGGGGGGCAGCGGGGTGGAGCGGTGGGGAGGAGAGTGGAAGGAGGACCTGGCCTGCTTGCCATGGGGCAGAGAGTGGGGCACTGATGGGGGCAGCCCCACAGCAGCCCCACTTTGGGGCTGGGCGCTGGGAAGGTTTTGGCCACCACTGGAACAGCAGAACGAGGAAACAACCTTCCCCAACGTGATCCCTTGTGAAGGGGGGCACGGGGCCAGCTTATGGCTGGTGGGGGCCCGGGGGGGGGGGTTCCCTGCGGGAGGTGGTGGCACAAGCCCCAAGGCTGTGGGGGGGGAGGTAAGGGGGTGACTCTGCTGCTTCTGGTTCTCCCTGTGCCGTGCTGGCAACCGGAGTTGCCAACAGCAACAGCGGGACCAGCATCCTGCCAGCGGGGATGGGGATGGATGGGGATGGGGGGGCTGCAGGGAGGGGGGGTCATGGGGGAGTGGCACAGGAGGAGCACCCTGGGACGGGAATGAGGGGACCCTGCCCCAGCGGGGGCACAAGAGCAGCACCGAGGGTGTCAGCCCCAGCCCCGCACACCCGGGGGAGGGGGGTAATGCGGCCGGGCGGGGAGGGTCCCGTTCCCCCCTCCCACCCCGAAACCCTTCCGGCCCTGGGTAGGGCCCGCAGGAATCGAAACCGGGCACAAAGCGGCGCTTGTTCACAGGGAGCCGGCCCCGACGGCGCGGACAGCGAGGGGCCGCGGCCCCTCCTCGAGCCGTGCTGCCGCAGGTAACGGCGATGTGGGTCCAGCCCCCGTTACCACCCCAGAGGATGCCCCAGTGCCGCCCCCCCCCGCCCCGGGCTGGACCCTTGTCCCCTCCCTGAGCTTGTGCTGGGAGACTGTGCTGGAGCGCCCCGATACCACGGGGATGGGCAGCAGCAGCCACGCGGCCGGGCAGGGACCGGACACGTCAGCATTGCCTGAGCCCTGCCCTGGGCAGGATTAGCCCATGTTGGCCACAGCCCCAAGGCCGGCTCAGCCCCACAGCCCTGCAGGGTGGCTCAGGAGGAGTTCGGCGTCGCAGTTTATTGTAGGAAACCATGAAAATACAGTGACTGTAACAGAACCCAAGAGAAACGACAGCAGCTCAGATGGATCCCGGTGCAGGATCACCAGTGCAGGAGCACCAGCGCAGGAGCACCAGTGCGGCACCACCGGTGTGGGATCACCGGTGCGGGATCACCGTCCGGGCCGGATGCCAACCCCACCGTGGTTAACGGGGGCCCAGCGTGTCCCTGCAGAGCACGTGCAGGCAGGGCCCCAAGCATGGAGCTCCCTGGGGGACATGGGACCCACTGCAGCCCCCCTGCAGAGCAGGGGACACCCCCGGTGGCTGTGCCCAGGGCGGCCACGTTGAACATGAGCCATTATAAAACAAGTCTCCAACACCTTGGTCCAACCCAGCCCCCCCCATTGCCCCCCAACCCAGCTGCCTCCCCCACCCCAGCCAGCACCCATTGGTGCGCCCCCCACTGTCACCCCACTGTCACCTCACTGTCACCTGCAGTCCCCCCTCCCTGAACAGCCCCGTGTCCCGCTCACATCCCCTCCCTGCTCCATCTCCAGGGCTGACCCCTGCCCACAGCCTTGAGCCGAGCTGGGAACGGGGCTTGCAGAGAGGGAGAGGAGGGGACGGCAGCACTGTCCCTGTCCCCCCCGTCCCCCAAACCCCACACCCGGCCTGTTCCCAGCGGCAGGGCCCCCCCCGCACTCTGCACCCCCAGCCCCGGCGTTCAGCGGGGCTGCAGCGTGGCTCAGTCCAGCTTGGCGAAGCCCCCGATGGTCACTTTCCGCTCCTGCTTGTTGGCCACCAGCTCCTGGAGGTGCAGGGCCCCGCCGCCGATGAAGCAGAAGGCCGGGCAGACGGGCCCGGAGCAGTCCACGCCGCACTCCCAGAGCTCGCGGAAGGAGACGGCGTCGTAGAAGCTCACCTTGCCCTGCTCGTAGTCCAGGCAGATGCCGATGCGCGGGGGCAAGGGCACGGTGCAGCCGTTGGGGTCGCGGGAGGTGAGCGCCGAGCCGTGCGACAGCAGGATCTTGCCCATGCCGATGGTGAGGAAGGCGTAGGGAGGGGGGGCCTCCACCGTCGTGTCCTCCGCTCCGCTGTCGTGGCCGCTGTCGGGGTCGTACCTGCGGCAGGGGGACGGGTGAGGGACGATTCGGGGCTCCCCTCGGCACCCCATAGCCGGGAGGTCACCAGCGCTCACCTGGGGCTCACCACGTCCTGAGGCACCTGGAACCACTCCTGGAGCTTGCTCTCCAGCCCCACTCCCACCTTGACCAGGTAGGAGCTGGGGTCCACACAGCAGGCCCAGTAGCTCTTGCCCTGCGTAATGGCCACGTCGCCAATGACCAGGTCGATGGAGAGGTGGCAGCTGGTCATGAGGCGCTCGGCAGCGAAGAGCATGGGGATGCCGGGCACGCTGCGCACGGCGCGCTGGTCCTTGCTGATGGCCAGGCGGTCCCGGTTGAAGCCCCAGCGGTTGTCCAGGAAGAAGTTGAGGACTGCGGGAGGGAGGAGGAAGGGTGAGGACGGTGCGGGCAGCCCATGGGCTGCCCCGAGCCCCGGGCCCCTCTCACCTGGGGCGGGCGGCGTGTGCAGGTAGATGTCCTCGCTGTACTCCCCGAATCCCGCCTTGTTGCAGCCCTTCACCCGCAGCACGTACACGCTGTCCGTGTCCAGGTACTCCACGAGGGCGCTGGTGCCGCGCACCTCCTCCCGCCGCTGCCACAGCTTCAGCCCCTTGGCCTTGGTGTCGGTCTTGCGGTACTCCACCGTGTAGTGCCAGGCGGGTGGCGAGTGCTGCGGCAGCCGCCAGCACAGGAAGATCTGGTCGTAGGCGTAGGTGCGCTGCGTGTCGATGACGGGGGCCTCGGGGGCTGTGGGGAAAGGCACCGGCGGGCATCAGGCAGCATCCCCCCCCCCGGCAGGCGGGGAGGCGGCCAGACGCAGGGAAGGGGCATTCCGGACGGACGCACGGACGAACAACCAGGAGTCTAAAGGGATCTGACTGCAGAGACCGCGTGGAGGCACCAGAGAGGAGCGAGAGTCGGGGAGACAGAGGAGCTGCTGCTGTGGGGCTGCAGGGACCAGACAGGCTGAGTGCAAGTCGGGAGGGAGGAAAGAGAGAGAAAGAGAGAGAGAGGATGGAGGCAGTGGGAGAGGAGGAGATGAGGATGGCGGGGTGAGGGTGCCGGTGGCACCGTGGGAGCAGAGGCAGGGTGGAAAGGAGGGTGGGGAGATGAGGGGATGGCGGGGGGAAGTGGGACGAGGAAAGGGGTGGAAATGGGGTGAGAAGGGGGACAGAAATGGAGTGAGGAGGGGATGGAAATCAGGTAAAAAGCGGGACGGAAATGGGGCGAGAGAGGGACAGAAATGGGGCAAGGAGTGGATGGAAATGGGGTGAGAAGGTGGTAGGAGGGCAGGAGGAGTGGCAGCAGATGGAAGAGTGGGGCAGAGCCATTGCCTGCCACCGCCATGGGGCAGGAAGGGAATGAAGGATGGCAGAAGAGCAGGATGGGGATGGAAGATGGCAGCGGAGCGGGGATGGGGCAGGACGGGGATGGAGGATGGCAGCAGGGATGGGGCAGGATGGGGCTGGAGGGATGGGACAGAGAGAGCGGGGCGGGCTCTGGGGCAGGGATGTGACTTGCCTCAGTTACTTCAGTGACGACTCGGCAGCGGGCGCAGCCTATAAACAAAGAGAGGTAGAAGCAGGTCTGAAAAGTGCCGCCGAGGTGCGGCAGGGCCCCGCGGCTCCTGCCCGGGGGGAAGCGCTGCCCTGGCCGCGGCGCAGCCTCCGTCCGTACTCACCCTCCGGCGCCGCTGCTGCCCTTACCTGGCACCACAGCCCTGCCTGTGCTGCCTCCGCACCCGGCACGGGGCGGAGGGGGGGTCTGGGGGCTGTAGGGGCTGTCCCTGACGGGGAGGGGGGGACCAGCAGACCCGCGAGCGGCCGTGGCCGAGGGGCTGCACCTCCGCATGGGCACAGCCGGTGCCCGGCGCTGCTGCCGTTACCTCGGATGAAGGCCAGGTCCGTGAGCAGCTTCAGCTCCCTGCTGACGTCCAGCTGGAAGTGGCTGAAGGAGGCTGTGGCCGCAGGACGGAAGCTCTGCAGCGAGTCGGTGGCCCTGAGGATCCTGCAGCACGGGAGAGAGGGGTCTCAGTCAGCAAGAAGCTGAACGTGAGCTGCTTCAGAGCGTGCTGGAGCCCAGAGCCCCCCCCCATGTGGTGGGAGCACCCCCAGAGCGGGAGCAGCAGCTCAGGGAGGGGATCCTGCCCCTCTGCTCTACTCCGGTGAGACCCCCTGCAGCACTGGGTGCAGCCCTGCAGCCTGTGATGCTCACCCCCTCGGCGCCCTGGGTGCCTGCAGCCCCGTACCTGTTGTGCAGCTGCTTGGCAGCCTGGACGAAGCAGGGCTGGTCGGTCTCCTTCAGCACCTCCTGGGCATAGCCCACCATGCCCGAGTTCTCCAGCATGGCCTGGTGCTCCTGGATCTGGCCGTGCAGGCTGGCCAGCCGCTCCTGCTGGCACTCCTCGATGGCCTGCAGCAGGGTGGCCCGCTTCTCCTCCAGCATGGAGCACAGCCCCTGGATCAGCTGCGACACCTCCTCCTTGGCCTGCGAGCCATTCACCTGCCCACAACGGGGGGGGGGGGTCAGCTCACTGCATGCCCCGGGGCTGAGCGGGACAGCCCAGGGAGAGCCCGGGGAGAGCCTGGGCACTGCAGCAGCCTCCACTCTCACCTCTGTGTGCTTCACCGTCTCCTCCAGCTCGGCAATCTGGGTCTGCACCGTGTCCTGGCTGCTCAGGATATAGGCGAGGCTCTTCGTCAGCTTCTCCTGCAGGCAGGGAGGGGAAGCGCTGGCAGCTCCCACACCCCCCATGGGGTGACACCAATTCCCCCCCGTCCCTGCCCCAGCAGCTCTTACCCTGAGGGCCTGGTACGCGCTGAGCACAGGGGTGATCTTGTGGCTGGTGTGAGTGCGCCGCACGCGGCAGAGCTGGCACACCAGGCGCTGGCACGTCTTGCAGTAGTGAGTCACCTCCTCCTTGTGCTCCGGGCACATCAGCCCCTGCGTGTGGCCATAGGGGAGCTCAGTGGGGCTCTGAACCCACCCCCCACCAAACCCTCAGCACCCCAAAGGAGAGGGGAAGGAGCCGGTACCTTGGGGCGGAAGGTGAGGGTGGGCGGTGTGGGTTCGTGCTGGGCTTTCTGCGTGCCCCAGGGGTGGTAGAGCTTGAAGCACTCGTTGCAGAAGCTGGACTTGCACTCGGTGCAGCCCTTGGTGGCCTCCAGCTGCGGGGGCTTGCAGAACTGGCACATGATGGCAGCGCTGATGTTGATGGTCTGCCGGTAGCGCTCCACCACCCGCTCCAGCGTCAGGTTGCGGAAGAGGCTGCCCAGGCCCCGCTCGCCCAGGTCCACGTCCCGCCGGCACGCGGGGCACGGGAAGCTCACGCTCTGCGGGTGCACCGGGCCCCGCTTGCGCCCGGGGTAGGTGCCGAAGCCTGCGGGGGGGATGCGGGGAAGGGCGTCAGGCGGGGTGTCACCCGCGGTGCCGTCCCCGTTGCCCTCCGGTCGCTCACCTGACTTGAGGAGGCGGTCGAGGCGGTCGGGTTTGGGCACAGCGCGGCGGCCCAGGCGGGGGCTGCGGGTGGCCGGGGTGGCGGCGGGCGAGGAGGGCTCAGAGGTGGGGTCGCAGCAGAGGTACCCGTGCTGCAGCAGCACCTCGCTGGCGCAGACGTGGCAGACGTTGTGTGTGCAGGGCAGTGCCAGCGGCTGCTTGTACATCTCCTTGCACACCGGGCACACCAGCTCCCGCTCCATGTTCTTCATGCTGGTCTGCGGAGAGAGCGGGGAGCGTCATCGGATGGGGCTGGGAGCAGCAGCAGGATGGCGATCAGGGCTGGGACCAGCAGCAGGATGGGGACCAGGGCTATGACTGGGATAGGGGCTGGATCAGGGCCACAATCAGGACCAGCAGTGGGACCAGAGCCAGGACCAGCTCCAAATGTGTGAGCAGGGCTGTGACCAGCACCAGGGCCTGGATCAGGGCTGGGGCCAGCATCAGGGCCAGGATTGGGACTGGGAGCAGCAGCATGGTCAGGACTGGGATCAGGAGCAGCACCAGGGCCTGGATAAGGGCTGGAGCCAGCACCAGGGCCTGGATAAGGGCTGGAGCCAGCACCAGGGCCAGGATTAGGGCTGGGAGCAGCAGCATCGTCAGGACTGGGATCAGGAGCAGCACCAGGGCCTGGATAAGGGCTGGAGCCAGCACCAGGGCCAGGATTAGGGCTGGGAGCAGCAGCATCGTCAGGACTGGGATCAGGAGCAGCACCAGGGCTTGGATAAGGGCTGGAGCCAGCACCAGGGCCAGGATTAGGACTGGGAGCAGCAGCATCGTCAGGATTGGGATCGGGAGCAGCACCAGGGCTGAGATGGGGATAGGATGGGGGATGGGACCAGCACCAGGATCAGGCCCAGCACCAGGGCCAGGATCAGGCCTGGACCAGCACCAGGATGGGCCCCAAGGCTGGGATCGGGATGGGGCTGGGGCCGGCCGCGATGGGTACCGGCAGCGGGCCCAGAGCCGGGCCCGCGGTGGGGAGGGGGGGGTCCGGACGCTCCGGTCGCGGTTCGAGCCCCCCCCAGGGCAGCGCCGCCGCCCCGCTCGCCCCCCGTCGCGCCCCGCCGCGTTGCCATGGCGACGCCCGGCCCGGGGGAGCGCGGCCGGGCCCGGCCGCCCCGCGGTGCCCCCCTCCCGCCGCCGCCGCCGCCGCTCACGCTGATGCGGACGAGTGCGTCCATGATGGAGGTGAAGGTCTGCAGGTCCTCGCCCTCGGCCATGGCTCCGCGCCCGCTCCCGGCGCCGGTCCCCGCGGCGGCAGCACCGGACACCCCGCTCTGTTGCAGGGAGCGGCGGAGCCGAAGGGGAGGGCGGGGGGCGGTGGCGCGCATGCTCAGCAGGACCGGGGGCTGAGAAGGGGGGGGGCGGCGGCGGCACCGGGAGGCTCCCGCAGCGCCCCCGGGCACCCCGGGGCGGGTTCGGTGCTCGGAGCCCGTGCAACCGGTACCGGGGCTGGCAGCGGGGACCGCGGGGGGAAACGGCGGCGCCTCTCCCCGCCGCCAGGGGGCGCCGCAGCCCCGCGCCCGGACGCCAGGGGGCAGCAGCGGGGCGGGGCGGGGCCTCCCGGCGCGGGCGCAGTGCGCAGAGCGGCGGCACCGGGACGGCACCGGGGGGACGCCGCGGGGCACTATGGGTAACGGCGGCGGGGGGGGCACCGGTAGCGATGGGGGGGATGCTGCGGGAAGGGGGGGGCTCGGTGCCGGTGCCCCCGCTGAGGCGCTTTCCCCCCCTCCGGTCGCAGCCGTAGGCACGGGCACGTCGCTGGCGCTGTCGTCGCTGCTGTCGCTGCTGCTGTTCGCCGGGATGCAGATGTACAGCCGGCAGCTCGCCTCCACCGAGTGGCTGACGATCCAGGGCGGGCTGCTGGGCTCCGCGCTCTTCGTCTGCTCCCTCACAGTATCCTTTGCACCGGGGGGCCGGGGCTGCGGCGCCTCCTCGGTACGGCCCCGGTACGGTCCTTAACCCCCAGCCAGGCCTTCAACAACCTCGAGAACCTCGTGTTCGGCAGGGGCTTCCAGGCCAAGATATTCCCGGAGAGTGAGTGCAGCGGAGCCGGGGTCAGCGGGAGCCGTGGGGAGGGGTTTGGGGGGGTCCCTGCTCTGCCCTTGGGGCCGAAGGGCTGTGCTGCAGCCCGGGCCACCTGCGCTGGGGCTGCATCGCTCCCTCCTGCTCTTCCCGCAGTCCTCACCTGCCTCTTGCTGGCTCTCTTTGCCTCCGGCCTCATTCACCGTGTCTGTGTGACCACTTGGTAAGTGCAGACGCGGCTCGGGAGGGTGAGGAGGGGGAACAGGGACCCGCAGTGGGATGGAGGGGTAAGGTTGGTCCATCCCCGTGTGTTACTGCCTGAGCACCCTCACCTCTTCTTCCCCCACAGCCTCATCTTCTCCATGGTCGGCCTCTACTACATCAACAAGATCTCCTCCACTCTCTACCAGTCCGCAGCGCCCATCGCTGCCCCCGCCAAGGCCGTCGGCAAAGGCAGGAAGAGGAATTGATGTCCTGCAGCCCCCTCCCCGCCGGGCCCAATAAAGCCATTTCTTTGTAGCTCCGTGGCTTCGGTTCCTCTCACTGCTGTGTGCTGGGGACCGGTCCCGCTCAGGCTGCAGCCGGTTCCTTGCTCACCGGTGGGCGATGGGGGGGGGCACGCTCCATCCGCTGGCACGGCCATTGGGAACAAAGGGGCCGTGGGAAGGCTGCGGGCGCTGGGAGCCGTGGGAGGACCGGCAGGCCCCGCTCCCACGCCAGCCCCGCCACCGGACGCGGCGGAAGCCAGGTGCTTCCTGCGGCACCGGGGGGGGACCGGGAGAGGGAACGGGGGGGGGGGGTGGAGGTCACCCGCCCCGCCGCCAGGCGGCGCTGCACGGGCCTCGCGCGGTGCGCGACGTGGCGCTGCTCCGAACTACAACTCCCAGCGGCCCCCGCGCGGCTGTGACGTCACTTGGCGACGGCAGCGGCGCGGGCCCGGGGACTACCGGAGCCGGTACCGGGCGGGGGGGGGGGGGGGGGGCGCCAGGGGCCGGTGGCGGCGGGGCCGGGGCCGGGCTCTCACGGGCGCTCTCCCCGCAGGCCGCCATGACCAAGCTGGGGCAGTGGCTGTGCGGACTCGCGCTGCTGGGCTCCGCCTGGGCCGCGCTGGCGCTGGCGCCGCCGGGGCTGCGGTTACCGGCGCCGTTCCGCCAGGCCCTGCTGCCGCTGCCCGTCTACCTGCTGGTGGCCTTCGGCTGCTACTCCCTGGCCACCGTGGGCTTCCGCCTCGCCACCTTCAACGACTGCGAGGAGGCGGCGGCCGAGCTGCGGGAGCACATCCGGGCGGCGCGGGCAGACCTGGCCCGGCGCGGCCTCCGCTTCTGAGCCCAATAAACGGCGCGGACCGGGGGGTCCCGGGGTCCGGTGCGCGCGGGGGCTCCCGGGAGGCTGCGAGGCCCCTCTCGGGGCCCGGCTCCGGGGCGGGGATGAAGGCTCCGGGACCGGCTCCAGCCCCGCGGGCACGGCGCGGGACCCTCCGGTGGGGTTCGCGCCGTCGGGCCGGAGCTGCCGCCGCCTTGTCCCGGCCGCAGTGCCCGGATTCCCGCGGCAGGAGCAGTGCGGAGCGGCCGGGGCCGTGCCCGCAGCACCCGGGGGGCTCAGCCCCACGCGGAGGCCGCTGCGCGGTGACTCAGGCCGGGACCGACCCCCCCCCGCGTTCCAGCCAAAGGCCTCTTGTGCTTAATGAGCGCCCCGCGGCCGGGAGCCGCTGGCACGGGGCGGCAGCGCTGGGTGTAATTAACAGGAGGAGTTAATGAGCTCCTTCCGGCGCGGAGCGGGGTGGGCAGCGTGGGGGGGGCGGCGGCACCGCCCCCGGGTCGGTGCTGAGGGCAGAGAGCACAGGGCGGGAGCTGCGGCTGCTGTGGGCCGCGTTCTGGGCGCCTCAGTGCCCCCCATGTGCTGCTCACAGCCCCCTGTGGGCTACTCAGTGCCCCCTGTGGGCTACTCAGTGCCCCCTGTGGGCTATTCAGGGTCCTCCATGGGCTACGCAGGGTCCTCCATGGCAGTCACCCCGCACACGGAGGGTGGTGGCAAAGTCTCCCTGTTGGGTACAGCTCCATCCTTGCCATGGGGCCACGTCCCGGTGCTCCCAGCCCACTCAGCTGGAGCCGCCCGCTGCTCCCGCTCCTTCTCCCGGTCCCGTTCCCAATCCCACTCCCGGTTCTGCTCCCGTCCTGCTCCCTCCGTGTTGACTTTTCCCAGGCCACACACACAAGGTGTGAACCAGCGCTCGGGCTCTGCCAAGATCCTCGTCACTGCTTCCTTGATCCGCCTGCGTCACCCTCCCTTAATCCTGCCCGGGGGGGGGGGGGCTCTCCTGCCCCATAGGGGTCTCTCCTGCCCCATGGGGGGGTGTTTGCTGTCACCTTTCCCAAGGCTGTGGTGGCTGTTGTGTAACTGGCACCCAAGCACGCTCCTGTCCCCTTGTTCCTGCGTTTGCTTGGTGGCTTCATTCCAGGTCATTGTTCATCGACTTTGGGTCCATGCCAACTTGTTCAAGCCGCAGAGGCCTTTTCCGTCCCAATTGTGACCAATGGCCCCAGGCTGCTGCTCCGGGGGGGGGGGTCAGGCAGTGCCATCATCCCCTGGGTCCCATCCGGGGCTGATGCTTCCACTGGGGGCTGCTGGAGCCAGTGGGAAGAGCCCCCAGCCCCACACCAAGGGAAGGAACAAACCCAGCACCGGGAAGTCTCTGATTTATTCAAGGCACTTCAATGGGTACAAGAGACTTGGGGCTTCCCGGCAGCTCCGGGCATGGAAGACTGTCCCATGGGATAGGTGGGAGCCTGGGGGGTGCTCCTGGCACCCCAAAGGCATCGCTGAGCCCAACCTGACCTGGAGGGACCAAGGGCTGGGGGGACGCTGGTGAGAATGAACCTCAGGGGCAGGAGGTGGCTCCTGGTGCTCAGCACTGGAACTGGTCCCTGCTGGAGCAGGATGGGACGGGGGGGTCCTTCATGGTCCGGTGCCCTCAGGCAGGGAGGGGTCTGTGGGGCTTGTCCCGGTACCGCCAGAAGAGCCAGAACCTCACAACGCTGGTGACGATCCCCGGCACGTTGGGGACCTGCGGGATGGGGGGAGTGGGTCCGGATCCACCCACGGGATGGGGGGAGCGGGTCTGGATCCACGCAGCTCCTGGTGCTGCCAGGGGGATTTATTGACCTTATAGCATTTAATTAATGGGAATCAATCCTCGTGTCCCTGAGCCCAGGCACGGGCTCTGCCGTGTGACACACGGTGACAGAGCAGGGTCAGCCCAGTGCCACCACTCAGCTGAGCACCATGGGATGGAATGGGATGAGACACGAGATAGGATGGGCTGGGACAGATTGGGATGGGATGGAACGAGATGGGACAAAATGGGACAGGATGGGATGAGATGAGACACAGGATAGGATGGGATGGGACAGGATGGAATGGGATTGGAGGGGATGGGATGAGAGGGGACAGGATGGAATGAGATGGGACAAGATGGGATGGGATGGGATAATGGGATGGGATGGAATGAGGTGGAATGAGATGGGACAAGATGGGATGGGATAATGGGATTTGATGGAATGAGATGGGAAGGGGAAAGGGAAGAGCAGGGAAGGGAGCACCCTCATCCCCCCAACGCACCGTGATGTAGGGGTCTTGGAGCTGGAGGCCATAGAGGGTCCAGCTGGAGGAGGCCAGGCAGGTGGTGACAGCGAGGGGGAAGGACAGGCAGCGCGTGGACCTGCTCCGCACCACCCTGGCCTGCGGCAGGACCAGGCTGGGGCAGGGCAGCACCAGTGCCACCGCAGCCCCCCCGGCCCAAACCACCCCCCCCGCCCCACGCACCAGGTCTGCGAGCGGCGACAGGTACATGCTGATGGTGAAGGCGCTGCAGAAGAGCCCCAGGCGCGCCAGGCGCGTCCGCGTGTCCCCCACCACCAGCGTGAAGTAACCGTAGCCCGTGGCCAGCACCGCCAGCAGCGCCAGGCTCTGCAGCAGCACCGCGCGCTGCGGGGGGGGCACCGTCAGCAGGAGGGTCCCCCCTGTGCCCCCCCATCAACCCAGGCTGCCCCCACCTTCGCGGGGCTGTAGTAGAGGTACACCAGGATGTAGAGGGTCTGCAGCGCTGCGCCAATGGTGTTGACGGCGATCAGGGTCCAGTCCTGCTTCAGGCACCCATAGCCCAACCAGCTGAGGTTGCTGCGGGGCAAAGAGGTGCTTGGCAATGGGGTGCTGCCCCCCCCGGCACCACCGCGTGCCCCCAGTGCCATGGACCCCGCTGTACTTGACGTCAGTGGTGAGGAAGGGCAGGAACTGGATGTTCTCCACGCTCCTGGTTGCCAACATCTGGCGCAGGTCGGACCTATGGAGAGCGGAGCGGGACAGGATCCTGGGTGCCAGCACCACGGTCCCTGCAGGCAGCAGGCACCCCGAAACCTGCACACCCTGCCATTGTGAACCCTAAACCCCACCAGTCCTGCTGCACCCCTCCCATTGCACCCCCAAACCCCCTGCACCAGCACCCAATGGAACCCATCGCACCCCAACCCTCCCACAGTCCCCGTGGGCATCCCCGCGCCCCCCAAACTGGCCCCACAGCACCTCTCCCCATAGGCCCCCCAAACTAGTCCCATTGCCCTCCCCACCGCACCCCACACCCCCTCTACAGCCCCTCTGCACCCCCAAACTGGCCCCACCGCCCCCCCACATCGCTCCCCCGTGTCCCGCTCACAGCCCGGTCCCGAACATGGCCACGGTGCAGCCGATGCAGGCAGCCGCGAGCAGCGGCACCGGGGCCATGCTGGGCCGCGGCACCGGGCACCCGCCGGGGCGGTGCTACCCGCGCGGGGCGGAGCGGGGCGGGATGCACTACCGGGGCGGGGCCGAGCACCAGGCGGGGCCCCCCCGCATCGCCCCATGGCACAGAGGGGCCGGGAGGGGAGATGCGATCGGACGGGGCGGATCCGCCCGCCAAGGACCCCGCATCCCCTCGGGCTCCTCACCGGGAGCCTCCATCACTGAGGCCCCAGCTCGCGTCCGGAGCCCATTTGCCAGCACGTGTCCTGCATCCCTGCGCTCCCACCTCCCCAGGACCCCCATCCCCACATCCCTGGGGTCACACATCCCTGTGACCCCCATCCCTGCGCTCCCACCTCCCCAGGATCCCCATCCCTGGGGTCACACATCCCTGTGACCCCCATCCCTGCGCTCCCACCTCCCCAGGATCCCCATCCCTGGGGTCACACATCCCTGTGACCCCCATCCCTGCGCTCCCACCTCCCCAGGACCCCCATCCCCACATCCCTGGGGTCACACATCCCTGTGACCCACATCCCTGCGTTCCCACCTCCCCAGGACCCCTATCCCCACATCCCTGGGGTCACACATCCCTGACCCCCATCCCCACATCCCTGCACTCCCACCTCCCCAGGACCCCCATCCCCACATCCCTGGGGTCACACATCCCTGTGACACACATCCCTGCATTCCCACCTCCCCAGGACCCCCATCCCTCCACTCCCACCTCCCCAGGACCCCCATCCCCAGGGTCACACATCCCCGTGACCCACATTCCTGCGCTCCCACCTCCCCAGGACCCCTATCCCCACATCCCTGTGATCCCCATTCCCTACGACCCCACCTCCTCAGCCCCAAGGTCTCCCTCCCTATGATCCCAAACCCCTGCAACCCCCATTCCCTTCCCTCCATGGGGCCCTAGCTGCACTCGGCCCCCTCCGCACCCCCCCAGGCCTGGAAGCTCATCCCAATGCACAGGGACGGAGGCGAAGCCGCCACCCCCAAGCCTCGGGAGGCTCCGTGTCCGCAGATGGAGACAAGCGATGGCACCAGCGAACCGCGGCCGTTTTCCACTTCAAAGCTCTCTCCAAGCACCGGCCACTAGAGTTAATTCGCCATGGGCCATGGCTCCTGCCAAGGCCAGGCCAGCTCAGGCACAAGGTGTGGGGGGCCAGAACCCCCCAGCCCCACGTTCTCATTGGTCTTGGTTATTTATTCAAGACAATAGTATAAAAACACGTTAGAAAGCTGTACAAACGGGGGTGCACAAAGCACCCACCCTGGGTGGCGCTGGGGGGGCCCTCCAGCACCGGGGAATGTAAAAGGGAAGGGGGGATGAAGGATGGGGAAGGGGGATGCTCGCACAGCCCCGCTCTGCTGCTCACACATCCAGGCTCCCAGCGCCGGGGACACTGAGGCACCGTGGCCCCGCCGGCAGGACACGGTGGAGCCCCCCCCACGGTGAGCGCCAGTCCCGGCCCAGGGGAACCAGCCCCCCGCTCCCCTCCAGCCCGGGACAGCTCCAGCCCCGGGCTCCGGCTCAGCCTCGACGTCCTGCAAGGGCCTGGGGAGCCGGGGGGGTCCGAGGGCTTTGGCTGCTCGGCTTTGGCTGCTCAGCTTTGGCTTCGGGCCCTCCAGCCCGCTAATACTGACAAACCCTTCCTCCCCTCACCCAGACGGGCACAGGGCAGGCGGCCCCGGGGCACACACGAGGACCACAGGGGTCCCCCCTCCGCTGCATCCCAGCTCCATCCCCAGCGGCCATAGCCTTGGTCCATCCAGGCCCGGCGGAGCAGTCACAGCCCCTGCGGCACCAGGAGGGGCACGAGGAGGCTGATGAAGGTGAAGGGGCTGCTGCTCCTCATGGCCGAGTTCTGCCCCACGCTCCTCAGCACGTGCGCAGCCGCATCATCTGTGCCACGGGGACAGAGGAGCTGTGAGCATCACCCCTGAGGGAGGCACCGGGACCCACATCATCATCCCATGCAGGGCCTGCCACCAGCTCCCCCAGGGACAGCAGTGGGGCCCAGCACAGCCCCATGGCCACGGACCCATCTCTGCCCTGCAGGCACCAACCTACCTGCCTGGATCCTCCCCTTCTGGGTAGAGGCAGGGACCAGCGGTGCCTGAGCTGCAAAGCAAACGCAGGGTCAGGCTTATGCAGCCCCCAGGGACCCCCCATGGCCAGGCTGCACCAGGGACCGCTCCCCACAGCCACCAGCACCATCCCGGTCCATGCTCGGGTGCCCACACCGGGGCTGGCCGTGACTCAGCGTAGGGATGGGGTGAGATGCAAGGGGGTCCAGGCAATACTCACTGCCTTTGCCAGCCACCATCACCTTCAGCTTCAGGCACGCTTCACCATGGTGGTGAATGGGCTTGGCTGCAAGGGAGGAGGTGGGTTAGGGCCTTGGGGGTACCCAGCAGGACCCCCCCCACCCCGGCAGCGCCCCGGGCTCTCACAGATGTAGTAGTAACTGTGCCCCTCCTTGAACTCCTTGCCCAGCGTGAAGGGGGTGAAGCGCTGGAACTTCTCGGAGAACTTCTCGGGGCCGTGCAGGGCGCTGGGTTTGTTGCATTCCCAACGGATCTGCTCCTTGGAACGGGGCTTGCAGGCCTCGTACTCCTCGGGCTCCACCAGGTACAGGGTGTAGCGCTCCATGGCGTGGGGGTCCACGCTCCCCTCCTCGTAGTGGGGGCAGATGATGTCCAAGTAGTCGTTGAGCCGCACCTCCACGGTGTAATCGCTCCACAGGAACCTGCAGCAGGAGGGGTCAGCTCCATGGGGAGAGGTGGGGGGGCCCTTCCCATGCACCCCCAACCCCCCCCATTGATTCACTAGGCCAAGGGACAGCAGAGCAGCTCTTCCCAAGGGGCATCTTGGGTCTGCCCATCCCTGGGCAGCCCCACAGGGCCCAGGATGGCTTTGGGAGGAGGAGCCCCCCCCCAGCACCCCCATTCCCAGCGCACCCCGGGAGCAGGGAGGGGACCTGCCCCAGCGCTGCCGGAGCCAGGAGGCGGCGGCAGCGATACCCGTGGGGCAGCCGGCCCGGCTGCAGGGCCTGCTGCTCCCCACACCTCAGCCCGGGGGGTGGCAGCCGGTCAGGGGCCTCGCTGGGGTCCCCTCTTAAAGCACATCCAGACTCGGGGGGGGGGTACCCGCTAGCCCCAACCCCTGCTCACCGCTGGGGGGAACGGACACACGCAGCCCCACAACGGGTCGCCGATGGGGTAACCCCACAGCGCCGGGACCTGCGAGCAGCCGCGGCTTGGGGGGGCCCATCCCAGCCTTCCCCCCCCCCGCACATCCTGCCCCGGCGGCAGGAGCCGGGGCCAGTCCCGTGTTTGTCAACAGCTTCCCTGTGCCCCGGCGCCGGGGCTGGCGCCGCGCCACGGCCGCGGGGAAGGAAGAGGCCCCGCTCCCGCTCGGCCCTGGGAACGGAAAGGCCCCCCCCGGTCCGCACCTGGGCCGGCCCCGCCGCTCCCACCCGCCCGCCCCGGGACCCCCCCTCCGCGCACCTCCACCTTCCCCCGGCCCCCCGCGGCCCCGGCCGCGCCGCCCGCCCCGGACAAAGGCCGCCGGGGAGCGCCGAGCCCCGGTAGGGAGCGACGCCGTCCGCGCCCTCGGGGCCGCCGGTGGAGGTGCGCGGAGGGGGGCAGCCCGGTGCGGCGGCACTCACCGGGGGTTGGAGCTGTTCCAGAACACCGTGTGCCGCTCGGCCGCCGCCGCCCAGCACAGCCCGAGCCCCAGCAGGGCCAGGGGCAGCCACCGCCGCTCCATGCGCTCCGCGGGCCGCTCCGCCGGGTGGGCACCGCGCCCGGCCCCCGCCTTAAGTACGGCCCCGCCGCCGCCGCGCCCGCCCCGCGCCCCGCCCCGCGCACCGGGCGAGACACAACAACAACAGCACGGGCAGCGCGGGGGGGGGACGGCTCCAAGCGCTACCGGTACCGGGCACCAGCACCGGGCACCGAGACCCCGGTACCGGCCGTGGGGGGGGGGGGCGGCATCGCCCCCGTGGTGCTGCGGATGCGCGGGCGGAGGGGGGGGGGAGCCCCCCGGAGGTTGACGGCCCCTCGAGAGCTGCGAGTGGGGTCCCAGTGATGGGGGGACCCTCGGACCCTCCCCGTGGGAGCCCCCTTATCTGGGGCGCTGGATCCCAAGTGAGCGGGGCTGGGGGCTGCAGTGGGTGCTAAGGAGGTGCTGGGGAGAGGACAGGGGCCGCTGCCCCCATTCTTGCCCGCATCAGCTGCCTCGGCCCTCCCAGGGCAGCACTGGACAAACCCCACACACGTCCCTTGCTGTTGTTTGCTCTGTATCGCGACATCCCCCCCCCATTGCCCCGGTGTGGGGTGAGGGGCTGCAGTGCCCCGGGCAGAGCAGCCGCTCTTTACCCATCTCCATGTGCCCCAGCGCGGATCGCTCCTCGCTCAGCCCTGCAGAGGGATGCTCCGTGGTGGGAAGTGATAACTCAGCCGCATTTGCAAAACAACTTTCCTCTTGTTTATGACATAATGATCCATTGATCGTGGGTAATGTTGCGTGCCCGCCGCCGCAGCCGTGCGAGCAGCGCTCCCCTGGCACCCGCAGGGGCTCAGGCAGGCGCCGGCACCACAGCCCTAACCACAGAGCGGCTCTTGGCTCCGGCAGCCCAGGGCTCCCACGAGGCCAAGGTGTGGGGCTGGTGCCCCACATCCCCCCTGCACCCCCCATGTCTTCCCCATGTCCCAGCCTCTCTCCCACGGGAGGGGACCTGCTGCCTCCCTTTCATCCCGCCTCGCTGTGGCCAGGCCTGACATCATTCCCTGCGCCGCGATGACTGTGCGAGGCCTCCTGCTCCCGGGAAGCTGGCGCTGCCGTGGCTTGCACAGGGGAGCACCTCCCGGGAACACCCCTGGGATCACAGCGCCAGAGCGCGGCACGTGCAAACCACAGGGACCGGCACAGCCGGATGGATGGTGCTGGAAGCCGGTCAGCGCCGGGTCCCGGCATCGCCCCGATGCTGCCACCACCACACAGAAACAGGCCTGTGCTGGGGGCTTGTGGAAACTGAGGCAAGCAGCA